GTGTGTGTGTGTGTGTGCGTGTGTGTATTTGTGGGTAGTAAGAGGGTGTGTGTGTGTGTGTATTTGGACCTGCTCTTAAGGTTGTTGGTGAAGAGTTTCTTAACAGTTCAAATAAGGGCAAACTGGGGTGGGGTGGGGTGAGGGAAGGTGTAGAAACAGCTTGCTTGAGCCTGTTGTCAGAGTTAAGGCCCAAAGTGATCTTCTACCAACTGTAACTGTTTTGAAAGAGAAGTGGATCATCCAGTGATTAAGTGTGTTCTTGGACTAGCCCTTGGCCACTCACAGTGGTCTCGACCTGCGGAGAATATTCCATTCTCTCTCACCCTTCCCGCCTCCCCTCATCAGAGGAGCGTTGTGGGCAGCCCTGGTACCAGAGGTGACCAAAGAGAGCCCTAAGCCAAGTTCTCGTTCACTGTGGCCCTTTCCTATTTATATTTTCTCACACATGAGAAGAATGTATATTTTATAAAGCATGTGTTTGTCTATTTGTTGGTCTTCTGTAAAATGTCTTAAATAAAGCCAAAATACACGGTATTTTCTGGTCATCTTTTGCCTGATGCACAGATGTGACAGTTTGCCCTTTTGAGACGCACAGGTTCATAGCTGTGCAAGGTGAGTGAAGGAAGGTCGTGTGTGGGGTGTGGAGTGTGTTGCTGGAGCCGGCTGTGGGCCGCCCCACTCAGGCCACGTGTGCTTGGTGTCCGTGATGCGCCTCGGCGCCAGATGCCTGACAGGATGGAAGCATCACACTTACTACTTCAGTAGAAAATGTGCTTTCTGCAGAGGGAAGAATTTGAAGTAAGCATTTTCTAGTTTGACAACTCTTTGATTAACAAAATACTTGAAGAATGTCCGTTTTCTGGCCATTGTCATTGCTGGCCTCGTGGGAGCCATTTCCTCGGAGGCTGCCAAGTGTTTGGCTGCTGGGCTTGCAGCTCTAAGCCTCTCTGCTGTGCTGTCATTTCTGGGAGACACGGTCCATAGGCCTCTCATTTGAACCTTGGCATTCTTATGATGTGGCCTGGGCAGATCATTTAAATCTGTCTGTAGTTTCTGGAAACTGAGTTGGTGGGATTATCACAAATATCAAAAGACTTTAGGCAGAAAAACCAGCGTTGGGATCCAGATTTTTCTGACTCAGGATTTTTCTCTCTCTGATACCTAAATTCTGAACAGAGTAGTTTGTCTATTATTTTCATAAATATTTAAATCAAAAGCCCCCGGATGTTAATCATCTCAAATATGATGAAAATTTGCACTGGGATATGCATGCACTGGAAGCAGGTTTTTGCTGTTCTGACACAAAAACAATTTTATTAGGTAGAATGCAGGAAAATGCCGTGGCTTTACTGATTTTTGTTTGGGAGTAAGATGTGCTCGGACCCAAGTGTAATACCTGTTGAGTTATGAAGATACTTGTTCACACAAACAGGTCCTGAAGGGATCTGCTACAAGACAACTTGCCATGGCTCAACCTTTTTGCAAAAAGGAATGCAGTATGGTACAAGTGAATTTTTAAAAGACCAGAGATGTAGCATACAATTTACACATTTAACAGACAAAATGATCAAAGAGCTATTAAAGTTTCTAGATGTGTTCTGATTTCTGGATGTTGCCGTGGACCAGTGGCAAGTAGCTCGCAGGTGGGCATAGATGTGTCGTGGTCATGTCATCCCGAGGGTTGATCTTCT